GGCCCGCCAATCGCGGCCGTTGGCGGCGCGGCGCCGCTGCTAACCGCTCACTGAGTCCCGGCGCCAGGCGCAGGCGCGCTGCTCGCGCAGCCGGAAGTGACGGTTCCGGCTCTTGTCACGTGGAGGGGGGCGTGGGGGAGGTGGTTGTGGGGGTTGGGGGTGAGGGCGAGGTCCGAGGTCCGGGGTCTGGGGTCCCCGCCCAGGCTGCACACCCGAGGCAGGAGGGGGGCCGCCTTAAGGCAGGGAAGTGGCCCGGGGACCGGTTCCCGCGCTAAGCGCGCGGTGAGTCTGTCATCGCGAATAGGAATTGGTATGTCTCTCTGAGGGCTTAAAAATGCCGCCACAAGTTTACCACCTACCGAGGAACTTTTGCTGCAACTGGAAGCCAGTCTGTCAGGCCTTCTCTCCAGAGAATCATCTACAGTTCGCCCACCCTAAGCGTGGGAGGTGGAATGAGCGCGGATTCTAGAAACCCGACGTCTGAAGCCACAGTGCTGCAGTCAGTAACCTGCTCGGGAGCGTTCTGCGTTTTCTAGATGACTAAGAGGGGCTTTCAAAAGTTAGCAGCCATGTGAGCTTTTCAGAACGGGCGTATATCTGTGCACAGATCTTCACCTTTGGCTAAAGGAGCTCATCGGGCTCACCCAAGGTCATACAGACGGCGTGTGGTAGAGCTGGGATCATAAGGACCCTCCTTTGAAACTTAGTTTCATAGGTTTACATTCTGTAGAAAGTAGGTCAGATGGTTAAGAAAGAAAAACGGGCGATTTAGGACTGTTTGGAAGCAAACCTAGCCATTAGGTTCCCCCTGTTGATTTAATAAAAAGACTTGAACATTTAGGGTTTTGTTGTTGTTTGTTTTTAAGATTTATTTATTTGTGCATACAGAACTGGGATACAGGCCAGAGATGCCGAAGGTGAGAGGATTCACCAGAGACAGAGTGGGGAGCAGAACAGACAGATTGATGAAGTACACTGCTGAGGGGAACAGCGGGCGGGTCAGGAGAGGTCTGCCACGCCATGTGGTCGCCTCCGGGGCAGGCGGGAATCGAACTCGAACTCATGCGGAAGTGGCTTCAGCTCCCTAGTGCTGTGCTTTAACCCGCTGTGCTACCAGGGAGGGCCTGGGTTTTGTTGTGTTAAAAGAGAAGAAATCTACTGCATCCATTTCAGAAACTGCAGGAATCTGGCTTTGCAGTGAGGCAGGTAACATACATGGGTGTAAAACTTTCAGGAGTGGTAGAGATAGCAAAGTAGTAGAGCAGGTGTTAAGGAGAGCTGCAGATTCTCAGCTCCTACCTGCTTTTCCTCAAAATTAGTACTATCCCACCATGGCCAGAGGTTTTAATACCTTAAGAGAAGCCAGAAATCTGGATTTTATTTTTCTAATATGGACCAAATTGTGCCTGCGACTCAAGTGTGCGACTTCTATTGGAGTACATAAATGTGGTTCTATCCCATTCCCCTATTTCTTTTTTCTTTTTTTAAGATTTATTTATTTGTGCATACAGAACTGGGCTACAGGCTAGAGGTGCAGGGGCAATGAGAGAATTCACCAGAGACAGTGAGGAGCAGAACAGGCTGACTGATGAAGTGCAGTGCTGAGGGGGAAGCAAGGGGTGGGGGGAGAGGGGGGTAGGAGAGGTCTGCTGCACCATGTGGATCACCCACCCCCGACCCCCATCAAACTCATGTGGAAGTGGCTTTAACTTCTTAATGCAGTGCTTTAACCCGCTGGCCACCAGTGAGGGCCCACAGTTCCCCTGTTTCTTGATCCAGTTTTTTTAATGAAGGACAGAAAATGTACCTGGTCAGAGATGTAGCATTTAAAATCTACCCTTCTTCCTTCTACTACTTGAAGAAAAGTCATGTCTGCCAACACAAAAACAGCTCTCTCTGGTTTTAAACTTTTGCTCCATAACCCACTAGGCTGAATTCTTGCTCCAGAGACCTGCCCTGTAAAGTACATTACAGCTTAGTGGAAGTCAGATTATATGTCATATGATTGATATGGTATGACAATTGGGGATTTCCATTTAGAAATGAGCTGTTTTCTTTAATGGGATTCACTGTGGAGTCTCATTCCTACAACATTTGAGTTATATTTCAGGCAGAATAATAAATTTAATCATGCAATTCACAGCTGTAGTCAGTCTAACATACAAATTATGGGCCTAGTCCAACTTTACCTGATCACAGCGCAAGAATAAAGTCTGCTAGGATCCCTTTAGAAACCAGCTTAATACAATTGCTGTGATATAAAGAAAATCACTTCTTTGTACCCATATAACCTGACTTCTGATGTGGTAGTTGTTAAAGTGTAAGTACCCTTTCAAAATTTATGACTAGGGGCTTCCCTGGTGGCACAGGGGTTAAAGTCTCAGCACTATCAAGGTATCACCAGCTTGAGTCCAAGCCCCATGAATTCTATCCCAGGCCAGGAAGATAACACACATGGTCTCATCCTCTTCTCCCCTCAGCAGTGTATGTCAGTAGATCCACCCACTCTGCTCCCCAGTCTGTCTCTGGTGAATCCTCTCACATATATCCCTCCACCTCTGGTCTACACCCTTGTTTTTATATGCAAAATAAATCTTGAAAAAATAAATCTTTAGAATCTTTTTTTTACAAATCTGTGGGTAAGATCAAATAATGTGTTCATTATTTTTCACCAAGCACATGATACAAATTAAATATTGGCCCCTCCCTGGCAGGACAATGGGTTAAAGCACAGTACTATGAAGCTAGCAAGCTACAGAAGCAAGAGTTTGATCCTTGGCCAGGGAGATGACCCACATAGCACAGCAGATTTCCCTTCTCTCCCGCTGCTCCCCTCAGCAGTGTACTTCATCAGTCCTCTGGTTCTGCTCCCCAATATGTCTCTGGTGAATCCTCTTACCACCTCTGCGCCTCTGGCCTGTACCTCAGTTCCTCAGTTCTGTATGCATAAATAAATAAATCTTTTTAAAAAAATAAATATCACCTGATTTCAGAATATTAACTGTAATATTCTGTAGTTCTATATGCATAAATAAATAGATCTTTAAAAAATAAAACTATCAACATCATCACTAACTATACCTCATAAAAAAAAATTGTGAACATCTAATAAAAAGCATTATGACCATATGGCTGAATTATCAAATGGCTAGTCTTGATTAGGAGAAAAAAGACTTGTTTGACATGAAATACTTTTCTATAATAGAATTTTTTATACAACTTGACTGACTTTTAAAAAGAGTGCAGGGGGCAAGAAGGGGGCTGCCCCTGGTGGCACAAGGGGTTAAGTTTCAGCATTATGAAGCTATCTGCAGTCACTGCAGTGCAAGTTCGATCCTCAGCTAGGGAGGTGACACACATGGCACAGCAGACCTCTCCTGTCTCACCTGCTGCTCCCTTCAGCAGTATATTTCAATAGATCTGCCTGCTTTGCTCCCTACTCTGTCTCTAGTGACTTGTCTCAATCCCTCCCCCACACACACCTCTGGCCTGCATCCCAGTACTTGCATACATGAGTAAATACAAAATTTAAAAAATTAAAAAAAAAAAAAGAGACTGTGGGAACCTAAGTTCCCCACTGATAAAGAATTGTTTTGTTTCAAGAAGATGTGGTCTGGCCACACACTGGAATACTGCTAGCAAATAGAGTAAGATGAAGTGTTACAATTTACAGCGAAATGGAAAGAGCTGAAGGGAATTAGGAGTAATAAAGCAAGTCAGGATATTTGCATAGTAGATGGTTTAACAAAGTGTCAGTAAGCAAAATGCTTACAAAAACTAGTGAACACTAATAAATTGAGTTCTCTGAGGTTAGAGAGAAGGGGGAAAGGGTTTTACATCAAAATCTGACAATTTTGATAAATGAAATAAAAGCTTGATGAGTCAATACACAAGAACCCATGCAGTATAAAGAACATGGAATTTCAGAGCAGGATGCAATTTAATCCAGTGAAGTAACTGAAAAACAAACAGGAGAAAAAAAGCTCATTAACAGCCTAGTGTAGCTGTCATTATCCGTACACCATATAGATGTTATGCATTTAATCCTCTTTAACAGGGAAATGGATAGTACTGTGCCCAACCTGTAGCTTTCTCACAGCAGGCAGCCTGAAACTTCTTCCCAAGCTGTTTCAGGCCCCAACGCTCATTCAAGTTAGAATATCTTGTTCTTTCTCACAATCATCTGACTCATTGCGTGACTATGTGATATTCCAGTACCACCTCCCCCATGAAAGTTGCTATTTGCTAGTCCAAGGTAGAATGGACTCATTTGTACCCTCATACTACTCTGTACAGACTTCCAGAACTAGGCCTACCAGTGACAGGAACATGCCACTCTCCATTGCATCATGAAAGATTTAAGGGAAAGGACTAAGTCATTATTTTCTTAAATCCCAGTGCCATGTGCTTGATCTACAGAGGAGTGAAAAATAATAACTTAGCCAAAAATCTAGTAAGTGGTAGAGTTAGGGAGTTAAGAACAGGTCCAAATTTCAGATACCTCTAAAACCCTAAGCTTTCGCCAATCTACACCTGAGTTTGGTATATTTCCTTAAATAGAGTATGTTCT